ACTTAGCTCCAATGCGATTTCTTGCCTTACTAATCTATTTTATTCTGTGGCATTGTGAACATTTTGCTGTTCCAGATTTGGAAACTGTAAGAAATCAAGGAACTAGTCTATAATGGCAGTCAAAGAAAAGCAGAAATAAAATAAATTGACAGAAGACTCAGTCGGGGTTGGGCTACAGCTCCAATGCAGAAAGAGATATGCAAATGTCTTCATAAACATGGGTAAAGTCAAACGTGTTCAATCCTATTCCAAAGATATATGAACCAACTATAGGTTAAGCTAACAATATCAGATATTAGTTCTGCTATCTGAAATATTTAATGCAGTGGGAAATTAAAAGAATAGCCAAAGAGAATACACTGAGAAGCATAATGTTAATGACACACCCTTGCCTAGTGAGTTACATCAGCAAAACTTTGTCTATCAGCTTCCCTTTCTGATCCTGCCAGAATGCCGATCATCATCACCCATTCCAGGGAAATGTGTTCCCTTCCATCTTAAGAATGCCAAATCTCTTTTGTTCATACAATAAAACAGATCCCATTTTCCATTCTCTCATAGTTAGCAGTCAAAAAGTTAACATGAGGCTCTCCCAACCTGATGCCCTCCAGTTGTTTATGAATTTCAATTCCCACAATCTGTTTTCCAGCACATCAGTTGGTTGTGCTGATTAGGTGATTATCAGAGCAATCATGCAACATGGTTGAAAAATGCCAAGTAATGTGATTTTTATTAGTTTTTAGCTTTTCTACAGGAAATACATCTAGAAATCTTAAATAAATTATAGTCCCACACAGCTATATTCTTTCTCTCTCTTTTTTGTACCTCTGCATATGCAAAACAGCAATTTTGTTGGAATTGCTGCAGCATTAGGTGGGCATTTTATCATGTTATGAGAACAAACATATAGAAAGGTTATGTCAAAATGATCAAAATGAGAAAGCGATATAGAATCTTTTCATGGATAGCTGAGGAATATATCATAATTAATTTTTGTGGTATTCACAAAAAGTGAAATTTTACATTCCAAAACACTTTTTTTAACAAAATACAATATGGGGAAAGTATTCAATTATTGCAGTCTTTAACAGGGAGTGTATTCATATGGGAAGACTTTAGTTTTCATGCAATCTATGAGCAGATTATAGGAGTTCTCTTTCAAATAAACATTTGTTTAACACCAATATTTAAAATCTATTCCAGATAAACCAAACCGTTACATTAGACCCACACTCACGAAAACCACACAGGATGTCACCACCACACATCCACGCAAAAAACAAACCCAAACCCACACCGATGATGAGGCACGACCACAAACCAGAAGCCAGACCACAGCTGCATCATTAGCCATCTTAAACCCCTCCAATCCATACATAAAGCAAACTGACACCCACCATGAAGATATGGCATGACCACGAACGCGAAGCCAAACAACAGCAACGCAGCTCTCCATCTCAAATCCCCCAGCAACTCAGACTAATCCGAGCACTACAAAGCTCCCACCCAAACAGAACACACCCCCATCCAATCAGAGCACAGCCAACCCCCCATCCAATCAGAGCACAGCCAAGCCCCTAATCAATCAGAACACACCTCCACCCAATCAGAACACAGCCAAGCTCCCACCCAATCAGTTCATACCCCCACTGGCAGTTAAAAGGAAGAAACAGCTGCAATCACACATTGCTCCTAGAAGCACGAAGCCAAAAACACCAGCCTGAAGATGACGAATGGGACTTCGTCGAAATGTCGCCAAGACACTTCCAATTTTATGCGGGAGAAAACCTGAATAACCAAAGACCTACATATCAAAAGTCTTATTTAAGAGTTTTTAGTGAAATGGGCTTTAGTTGACCCCGAGTGTTCATTCTGTATATACAGAAACTCACTAAATTCCATATTTTTAAAGTAAACTCAAGCAACAAAAACACTGATCAGAACTTTAATTCTCATCAGTTGACTTGGCATGGTCTATCACAAAGGGTTATAGAAGTTGTTGTCTGAAACACCTGATGGGTAGCACTGCCTACCCAATCACTGTGTAGAAACTTTTTGTAGAGGCATAAAATCCTTCTATTCCATTTTCTCTTCTATCATCTTCCTTCTCACATTATTCATATTTAATCTTTCTATGTTGTAATTTGGTTTCAATTTATTTCAGCACCTGCTCATGAAGCCAGTAGATGGTGGGCACGATAATGGCCATCAATTACATTTTAATGCCTTTTTATGACTGTTATACATTTCCAGTGATATATGAAGAACCATCACCTGTTATTTTACTGTTTTTATTTCAGTGCACAGTAACTTGCAAGAGACCACATCATTCGTCTGATTAAATCCAATAAACAGTTAGAGTTTCTGTAGTATGAATAGCCTTTATTTTCTGTTCAGTCATAGATCAACTACAGATTGATATGCCTTCCAGATATGTTGGAATAAATCTTTGGCATTTTCAGCTAGCATTGCAAATCCAGTTTAAGGGAACTGTATCTTAATGCATTTCAAAGCTGGAGAAGGATGATGTGCAAATTTAAAACCATTTTCTGCAGATCAATTTCTAGAGGTGAGCAGAGCTTTGGAAATAATTTGAAAAGGTTTTTCTGGAGTGCACAGGACAGAAATTGTAGCATCTGTCTGCAACTCTTTAAAGCACCCACATCTTTTCTCAAGGTTGCTTGCTGTCTTTTGTAGCTGCAATATGATTTGGAAAATAGTATGGCTGTTTTAAACAGTTGCATAATATATTACATTCATAAACCACATACTCTGAAATACAATTCAAATCACTGCATATCTGTATTATTTTCCTTAGATATTGTTTTCAGACCAAAAACAAAGCACCAGCAACTAAGCATTCTTTAGAAAACATATTTAAAAGCCAAGTAATATTCTTTTCTATTATTAGATTTTGTTGGCAGGAAGTTATTTGGAAGATAATTTTAAAGTGTGAATGAGAATATAAGGTCAAATAACTTTTTTACAGTGTGTTGCATATACAGTAGTATACATCTTTTGCAACTTGAAGTATTTAGTAAACATTTGCAGGCCTTTCTCTCAGCTTTTCATATATAAATACTGCATATGTTATGAAAAATGAGTATTTAAACCAGTCTGTGTTGGCCACCTAACCAGTGACTGACTGCTGTTTATATATACTTATCCTTTTATAGACATGACATACAGCACAGCTCTCTTTTCACAATGAACTATTCCCAGTAGGTGGTTTCACACCTACAAACTCTAACTGAATCGTGCTGATCTCCATACTCTATCCACAAGTATAGTTTATGTTTGATCATGTTGATGCCTTCATTCCCAAATCACCAAAGGAGAAAACAGAAAGGGTATGGATTTCCATTTCAGCCTATCTTTTTAATGTCCCCATTTTTGACAATTCTTTGACTTAGAGGAATGAAATCTCTGGCTCCACTCACACAGAGGAGAAAAATGCAGATCAATTACAACAGTTAAGACAGTCTCATTAATTTAGGTTTAATTAAAATACATCCTCTCTAAATTGATGGGTCCATAGCCAAACTAATATCTGGACTTCAGATTTAGAAAAAGGAAAAGATCTTTTTCGCTCTCTCTTTACTGAGTAAGAAAGGAAAATAACTATTTATAGAATGGCCAGCATGAAGCAAGCTGTCGTATTATTTCCTGACACAATTCTCTTTACGTATCACAAAAATGTCACTGGATCAGATAATTGTCCCCTATTTATACATGCTACCATTTGCCTTTTGTAAGAATTGGTGATCACAAACTGGATCCCATTTACTGACCAGACATTTTTACAAGGTTGCATACAGAAAATAATTAGCTGGCAAATGAAGCAGCAGAGCTAGAGTATTAATCATTCGCAGTTACATTTTAATTCATCCAACCACACAGAAGTTGTTCATTTTATCTAAATCAATCTTTTCCCCCATTTAATGCATTGCACTGCAGTTCCTATTAGTCCAAGGCAGCATGACCACGGATAGTGGGAATTATTGTCCTATCAATCTCACACAGGAACACTGGGAACACGAAGGGAAAGGCTGCTATAGATAATCACTGCACAAACTTCAGGATTGGTATTTAAAATATGACTAGATTGTTCTATTCTGAGCTGAAACATCATCTGCAGCACCTGGAGGATAAAAAAAGAAAGCAAAAGTGCTTCTACCTATATTGGGCTGGCTGAAATTCATCAATAAAAGAAAAAAACGGAAAGGCAGAATGTTCTGGCACTCAGATGTGGATCACTTTCCCTAAGAAAAGAGTCAAGGAAGTGACTGGCACTGATCAACATATACTGTATCTATTGTGCCCTAGTATTACATCTCTTTTGCCTTCTTTAGATTGGAAAAGCTAAACTACCTTAGCAATCCTTACTGTAAGAGAAGCAGGCATTGAGAAGACTCATTTCAGATCTTCAGTTATCACAAATAAATAAAGCTATGTCAATTTGCATTTTCTTAGGTAACCACATGATGTTAGCCTTCACAATGTAGAGCTAATAGTGTTCATCTATTGGCAAGTCCACATCAATCAAAGAATTTTGACTGGCGGGGTCTAGGAAAACGGCCTTCTCTACTGCTTCCCCTGCATTGTGGAACACTCTGCCCTCAGAGGTGAAGAAAGCCCCCAATATCTTGGTCTTCTGCAAAAGTGTCAAAACCTGGCTGTGCAGCCTTGCGTGAGGGACACAGAGGCCCACACAACTGTGGGGCTGGCTGGGCTTATGAGATCCTCCCTGCCTGCATTAACAACTGCATTAACAACTGCTAACCCTCCATCTTAGAATGTTTCACCTTTTGAAATTTTATGATATTATTTTTATAGTTTTACAACTTTTTAATCTTAAATTGATTATATTTTAATATTTTATTAACTGAAAAAGAGCTATTGTACACTGCCCAAGTTCCTCTCTTGAATAAATAAATAAGTAAATAAACAAACAAACAAATAAATAAATACTTTAAAAGTATCTCAGCCATTATTTAACTTCAGGGATTTCCAATCAGCTCTTTAGTTGACAAGGCAATGGCCATCAGATAACAGCAAATCATCATCTTACCTTTACAGGCCACATAGTTCTCAGGCTCATATCCAGCCTTGCAAGTACAGCGGCCAATGGGAACCATCCATTCCCCATCACCATTGCAGTATAATTTAATGGGCACATCCACCTCCTCGGCATTGGGAATGCACGTACCTCGTGCAATCACTAAGGAAGTACTTTCTGCTCCTGTCATGGTCTCTGGGAAGATGGCAAAATTTTGCACCACGCTTGGGCATTTCTTAAAGAAGACCCTTACAGATAGCAATGACATGCATGCCCCATAATCCTGAAAGGCCAGGTAAAAGCCTTTCCGATTGAGAGGCCCAAAGCTCCTCACCTCTGTGTTCACCTTCATTAACCTGCCACCAAAGTCCACCTGAGAGAAGCTCTCATCTGCAGCAATAGTGTCCACCTTGAGGTAGGGGGCTTCTGTCCAGAAAGCTGAATTCTTGGTGACAATAACAGAGTCTGTTTCATAGTAATATAGGTTGAAAGTTTCCTTACAGGAACCAGGAACATTGGGAAGGCTGCTACAGTCCCGTACAGTGAAGCGCATTTCTGTATAAATACGGTGTGCACCACGTCGATTTATGAAGGTGGTAAGTAACCAATTGTTCTGGTTGGGTTCAAAGACGTTGCAAACTTGGTAAGTACGTATTGTGTTGAGGTTCTCATCGTAGCCACTGACTTCCTCCCACTGTATGGAACAAATAAAAAAGGGGGAAATCAGGCAATTAAACAGGATGAAAAGAAGGGAACACAGGGATGGCACTTTAACTTGGAGAATTATTGCTTACAACAAGATAACTGGGATGTACAGCCTTGGAAGAGTGTTATGCTTTACAATCAGTTGGAAAAATGTGTGCAATGTTGCTGATGTTAGGGCCTATTCCAGGGCTTATGAGCTTGGAATCAGCCAACAAAAATTAAAACAACTAAACTAAGATTATCCCTAGCTAACAGAAAGAAAAAAGTTTACATGCATGAATGTATGTATGCATAAAGACACAGAGAGAGAGAGACAGTGGCCCCACAAAATGAATACACTTTTAGTATTTGTTAAAGCTGATGTAACTCAAATGAACCTCTGAGAGGTATTCTGACAAAATTAATAAAATTCAACCAGACTCTGTTGCTCTGGTAATCTGACCTCTTTTAACCCCCTAACTGACAGAACCGCTTTAAGCTTGGCAGTTTCCTGAGAACACTTACCTTGAAAAGAACTGGCAACTTCAGTGTGTTTTAAAAATAAGGTTGGAACTGAATTCAATATGATTAACAAGATGATTTAAAGCAATTTTTTTGAAAATTAGTTTGTGATTTACTTGCTCCTTTGGATAAAAAGAAAAAAATCATATCATCCAGAAATAGTATTTCTAAACCAGAAAAAAAAATACATACTAAATTTATTTATTACAGATCTTTATACCTTATAGTTCAGCTTCATGATCCCAAGGCAGGTCACATCTCAGTAAGAAAATATGAGTCTACATATGACTTATTAAAGCAACTGTATATTTTTAGGCTTGTTCAGAAGTTTTAAAAAATATCCAGCTGCTTTAAACAGATGCTAACGTATGTATCCCTGATCACTTCTGATGAAACGTTTCTGAAGCATTCATAGGCCTAACAATACATATAAACAGAACTAGAGTAACAATAGTAGTGGAACCACAGTAACATCTATTTAGCATAAATTACAAGTCCTTGCACCCTTATACAAGAATTTCCCAAGTGTTTTGGATAAAGTGGCCCAGGAAGTACCACGAGTGGGTTCTAGCAATGGTTAATGGTTGTTTGAGTGAGGGAGTTGTTCCTTTACCTTTAAAGAGGCCTTGTTTTGCCCCCTACTCCAGAAGTCAATGTTAGATCCCACCAAACTGGACAATTTTCATCCAATCTTCTACCTCCCTTTTATGGAAAAGCAGTTAAAAAGTTGGTTGTGCAACAGTTCCAGAGGAGCTTGTATAAAATGAATTATCTGGATGTATGTGATAGAAATGGTATTGGTTGCAGTTTTCAATTATCTCTAGTGTGGGCTGGATGGGCATTATGTATCTATCCCTGCCCTAGTTGACTTCTTAATGGCTTTCAGTACTATCAAACATGATATCTTTCTGGACTGCCTCAGAGAATTGAGGGTGGTCAACATGATGTACTAGTTCACCTCTTTTCTTCAGAATCCATTCCAGTCTGTGTTGATTGGCAAGTAAATGTCCCACCTTCAGCCCTTACTATGTGCAATGCCATAATGCTCCGTTTGCTCTCAGCCCCTATTTAACATCTACATGAGGCTGCTGAGTGAAGCTACATCAGTACACATCTTTACATCTCTGCCCCTGTTGAACTAATTGATGTCATGAATGTCTCATCCCAGTGCCTGGAGGCTGTGAGGATCTGCATGGGGAACAATAGACATAACTGAACCCTGGCAAGATGAAGAAGTTCTGAGGTTCAGGGCCAACTGCTTCCAGAACCATGTCATCTTTGGTTTTGGATAGCATTGCACTGCCCCAGACAGATGCAATGTGCATCTGGGGGGTCCTTATACACTAACATCCCAATAGATATGGCAGAGAGGACATGCTTGTGGTACATCTGCTAGGTACATACATTTGGTAAAACCATCTCTGCTCTGATACCCACCTTGTGGAATACGCTGTTCCCCAACCCAAGGTTCAGTTAGCTCCATTCCTTTTGGTTTTTCCAAATCCCTTAAGACAGGGATCCCTAACCCCCAGTCCATGGACTGGTACTGGGCCAAGGCATGCCAGCAACTGGTCTGCACAAACAAGCAAAGCCCCATCTATGGGATTCAGGCAGCACACAAAACCATGCATTCTGCAGTCCGTGGAAAAACCTTTCTCCATGGAACTGGTCCCTGGTAGCAAAAGGTTGGGGGCCCCTGCCTTAAGATAAATTATGTCACCAGGCATGGGGATTCCAGGGAACCAGAGATATGCTCAGAAAGCTATACTACTGCGGTAGAAACTGTCTCGATACCTTGGGTTAGTGTATTATTACTATTAATTCTAACAATCTTAATCTTTGGCCTTGATTTTTTATATATTCATATGAATATTTTTATAGATGCATTGTTTTATTGTGTATTGTACACCACCCAGAGTTACCCTTGGTGAGATAGGTTGCCATATATATCTAATAAACCAATAAATAAACAAATGCATTAATTTCCATAGAATTTGCAGAGAAATAGCAATATAGTCACTTGCAGCAAAAACAGCTATGTTTCTACTGCCACCTTAAAGATTGTTTATTATTCCAAAAAATAACAGTTTCAGTCTCTTAGAAGTTTTTTATTGTTTCAGCATGGGAGCCGATTCCACTCATTTAATAGGATTTAACTTGGATAATCTTTAAAATACCACAAAAGTCTTCTTTATTTTATCTTAGAGCAAGTACTACATAACGTAACAGGATTTAAAGGGACTTCCGTCAGAATACACATTATAAATTATATATTTACATAGCTTTGTATTATGAACTTTTAAATGTCTGACTAAAACTAATTTGATATCTAAAGCCTACTAATATTGGTGTCAGACACATTTTGTGCCTCAAAAGTCCCACATCAAGAAATATATCATAGACTAGCACTTGATATGAGCAGCCATGAAGGCCTTGGAAAAGATATTCAGATGCTGTGATGTGTCTGCCCTCACAAAGATCAAAGTAGTGCAAGCAATGCAAACAATAGTATTTTCTGTGCTGCTCTATGGAAGTGAAAGTTGGACTTTAATGAAGTGGGATTGAAAGTATTGATGATTTTTAGCTTTGGTGTTGGAGAAGACTCCTGGGAACATCATAGATACCCAAATGTTTGGATCATCAAACAAACCAGAGTTATATATCTAAGTGATCACCAAAAATATACTTGGTTGCCCATAATCAATTAAAATTACAGTTGTCCTTGCGCCTTAGTGTACCAAAATAAAAATGCTGGATGAGACAAAGCTCTGCCTAGCCATATTTACTATTTCTAAAGTGGTCAACCACCCGGTAAATATGAGAAGGCTACAAGCAGGGTATTTGTATAAGAACACTGTTCCACTTACATAATCAAAGGTATATAGATAGAATAAAAATACTATATCTGTTGCACTTTGCATCACAAATACAATGCAGCTGGCCTAGGTATTTCAGTTAAGAATATCAAGATGGGACCAATCTACTTCTCTTAGTTCCCTTGTTTTAGAAAACTTTTTTCTTCAGCAAAACAGTACAGATACTCATACTTAGAAATGAGGGCTGCTTTTCTTCATCCAGGTATCTGGAAAGAATACTTCGATCCAAACTTTGCAGAGTGCTAATACATATTAAGAGATTTGTCCTCCTTACATTTATCTGATTTCATTTTACATCCATGCCATTTACTAGCAATCATCATACGAACAGCAAGTTTCATAATTTCACTGTGTATTGTGTAAAGAAATGCATTTTTCTGCTTTGCATCATTGATATTTCATCTTTACTGGATGCTCCTGGGATGTGAAAAATTGTAGGGAGATGTGAAAAGTAATAGAGGTGAAAGTAGACTTGAACAATTGTAAGAGAGAAGATGAATCTGCTGGCAATTTATGTCGTAAACACTAACTCAGCCTAGATGAAAAGAAATCTGAGAAGAATCATTTCAAATCATTCAAAGAAATGCTACCTTAAGAAACTCACTATAAAGGTAAGAAATTCCTCTTCCAGTTTCCAAGACTGTGAATTGGTATTATAAATATCTCACTGAAGTCTTATATAGCTCTTCCTTCCTTGATCTTACTCAACTGTATTGGGCTCAACATTGTTGTTATGAGAGAGAGAGAGAAAAAATCTACTTGTTCATTTTTCTTTACGTCAAATTTATATGTTTTTCAATATTCATCAAATTGGGGCGGGGGAATTGGGGTGTTTCCCTTTGCCATACATGTTTTAAATCTTTGCAATAAATTTTCGAGTTAAAAATCTTGAAACCCTTCCATTACTAATGCTTTCTGAGTTTCTCTTGCCTTTCCTGTAAAATAAAATGTTTTCTCTTTAATACAGTAAGTTTGAGAGAACTGTACAAAAGTATCACTAAGATCTTCTCACTATTTCTTTCAGTTTCCATAGGTTGCATGATTACACTCAAACCACAATACAAACATAGCATAGGCCTTGCAGGGCCAAAACAGCATGTCTGTGCATGGTGCTACAGTACTTCAAATTGCTTGAGGAACAGTGATGATAGGGCATAGTTAGAGGAATCTTCCTCTCTAGACATTCCAGGATAAACATTGCATGGCGCTATCCAAGGTGCTACTTTTTCTTTTGAATCAACTTTAGTAGAACCTTTTTCAGAATCCACCTTTCTTGAAATTAGTCTAGGGATTCTGATTTCAGCTTGTTTGACATTGCCTAATTTATCTTATCAGAATTTCAAGTTGCTTTTTGTAACTTTTTATTTCTGCATCAGACTTGAAATCCATCTGATTGAAACCATTATTTAGAAGAGGTTTCCTGGACAGATTGTTGAAGATATCTCAAAATGACAAAAGCTTTGGAAAAGAACTTTAACTATTTCCTCTTCTGAATTTCTGCCCCCCCCTTTTTTTTGTATAGTTATTTTGTATTTTAATTTTTCTTGAAATTGAATAAAGTGGTATTAAAAATAATTTTAATAATTAACTTTCTATGCATAACAGTGAATTA